GGGGGTGAGGGAAGAGATTGGACAATAATCGTGCACCTATGGATGAGGACAGTGGGTGGGGAGTAAGGGCGGAGGGTGGGGTGGGAACTGGGTGGAGGGGAGTTATGGTGGGAAAAAAGAGGAACCAATGTAATAATCTGAACAATAAAGATTTAATTTAAAAAAAAGAAATAACAAACACTTTTATTATAAAAAGAGAAATTTCTTATGATTCACCATATTAAGATTCATTTAAAAAGAAAAAAAATTAGGCCACAGAAAGGTAACTTTAAAAGATAAGAAAAATGAAATAGTCCTCAAAATCTAGTTTGAAAACACTAAAATCATCTACATATATACGCCTTTGAGACTTGCACATTTTTCATACCCCTCCTCTTCACACTCTTAGCCATATGACCTCCTATATGATCCAAATATGCCCTTAACAAAATCACCTACATGAACAAATATCCAGGCACAAGCAGCCGCAGAACAAAGATACACTCAGTACATAAAGTATACATAAGATGCTGTGGAACACAATGCCTACGATATGCACCAAAATATGGAACTGTAGCTCAAAGTATTATGTCACGACCTCCCCCGTGGCCCCCATCTGAACAGGTCTCAGACTGTACTGAAGATGCCAGGTCTGGACTGGACTCCGTTCCTGTGCCACTGTATAGCTCCTTCTCTGTGCCACTCAAACAAGCCACGTAGCCATTTCTTCCCCATAGGCCTTTCATCTGATTCCAGTCTCTGTCCCACCCAGACAGCATGGTCAAGCAGAAGACCTCAAGATGAGTATATGTAGCCCTAGCCGGTTTGGCCCAGTAGCAAGAGCGTCGGACTGCGGACTGAAGGGTCCCAGTTTGATCCCAGTCAAGGGCACATACCTCGGTTGTAGGCTCGAGGGTGAGTGCAGGAGGCAACCAATCGATGTTTCTCTCACATAGATATTTCTGTCTTTCCCTCTCTCTTCCACTCTAAAAATCAATGAAAAAATACCCTTGGATGAGGATTAAAAAAAAAATGGTGCTGAAAAACAGACAGATAAGTAATAAAATAATTTAAAATCTCTGACTCCCTGACCTTGGGTGCTGGCGCCATTTAAAAAAAAGAAAAAAAAACCAACGGAAAAATATCCTTGAGTAAGGATTAAAAAAAAAGTGAGTATATGTGTATGTAAGAGTCTGAAAATAATGTAATAGAATGAGTAAGAAACAAAGCAAAGAGATTGCTCATGAAAAAAATAAAGTTTAAGACAGAAAATATTGGTAGAAAACAGAAACATCAAACTTGTGTTTCAGAGGAAACTAACTGGACTTTAATCACAGTATTTCTTCATCACTACACAAGGAAGGCAATCAGATGAGTCGTCCTTTCTAAAAAAGAAATATATGAACAACACGGGATAGATGCGAAGACACGAACACTCCATAACAACCTGTTTTTAACTTATTTACTTACCATGGTCCACGAGCCAGGCCATACATAAAGAATTCAGCTTTTCATCAAAGAATTCCACACCCTATGGGTACAGACGATTCCATTAATACACATCTAACAAAGTTTAGAAATCAAGATAATCTATTTATTGCACCAAAATAAACTAAAAGCTAAAAACCACTCGTTTCCAAATAAGCTGAATTCATGAACCAGCCAGAAAACAATTACCATGGAATTTGATTTACAAACTGTAAATCTATTTTATTGGATAGAAATAATAAACAAAGTGAGATGGCCCAGGCCCTGCTAAGTGGGAGAGAATCGGATGGTCAGGAGCCAGATGTGATACTGCAAAGGATAGAAAGAATGCAGTATGGACAGTCTGCCAAGCATTATCTAGATTATTTGTAAAAAGGAATTACCCAGTAAAATATGTCAATAGCATATTTTTTCTTTATTTTCTAATTAAAAAATTTTTCAATTACAGTTTACGTTCATTCGATATAAACTTGTATTAATTTTAGGTGTACAGCGTAGTGGTTAGACAATCATATGCTTTACAAAGTGTTCCCCTGGTATTTCCAGTACCCACTAGCACCATACACAGTCATTACAATATTACTGACTGTATTTCCTTTGCTGTACTTTATATCCTCATGACTATTTTTGAAACTATCAATCTGTACTTCTCTGTCAATAATATTAATAAGTCTCAAAAAATTTCCCTTTTTGGTTAAGATTATAATAAATCATTAAGGATGAAGAAACTGATATCAAGAAATACAGATATTTCCACTTAAATAGAATATTTCTAAGATGATGGGAGGAAGCAGAGGGAGAATAAAGCAGGCGCAACACTGCAGGTGACCCAGTAGGGTCACAGGTAGAACCATCCTGGCTCTTTCAGTTTAGCTCTTCCTGTCAACATTTGGCCACTCGAGCACAAGAGGGGACAAGCTCCTAGAGCTGATTTACACAGACCTGTCACTGTGGGAATTCTGTACCATGCAGGAGAATGCTGTGACACAGTGCTCTCCTAGAGTCTCCCTTTTGGGATCTACATGTTTCTTTGGATCTAAGAAGTTCCTGAACAGCGATTATATATTTCAAATAAAGTACTCTGAAAATAGTGATTTAATAACATAAAATGCTTTATAATAATAGATCATGAATAGGTGTTAGCATATACTTAAATCACCATGTCAGCTCTCAAAGATTTCTTTTTCATTTCAAGTTATGGATTTTTCTTTAAAAATTTTAAATTTAATTTAGAGAGCAGAAGGGGAAGAGAGATGAGGAGGAAAGGCGGGAGAGAGATGGGGAGGCAGGGAAGGAAGGAGAGAGGGCGGCGGGGAGGGAAAGAGAGAGAGAAAAACATCATTCTGCTGTTCCACATATCTGTGTGTTCACTGGTTGACTCTTGTGTGTGCCCTGACTGGGGATCAAACCCACAATCTTGACATACCAGGACAAGGCTCCAAGCAACTGAACTACTTGGCCAAGGCTCTTAAATCTTAACTTTTATTTCTTGATTTTTGTGGTTTAACTTTACATTTATTCAGCATGGTCCATAAGCCAGGCCATATGTAATCTCTTGAAAGAATTTTATAAATTGACTACCTGATACAGATAAAAAAATAAAAATAAAATATATACGAACAAGAAATTGAAGTTGCATTAACAAAATGTTCATGACCAATGTGTATCAGCCCTGCCCAAAAGGTATGAGTCAGCCAAAGTCAGCATCTACTTGCTTCTATACTCCTCTGTGGAGCTGCCAACCTTTGCTGACCTCCCAGATCTACGAGGAATAGAGGTTTAAAAAAAATAGTACTAAAATTCTCCTTCTCTTCTGCACAGTTGTTTCAGCCTTTAGCCAACCAGTTAGCCACTGCTGCTTTCCATTCTGGAGAAAGTGACCCATGACAGTCACCAGTGAAGAACAAAGGATGACTCTCAGTGCTTGGGAGTGATGGGGAAAAAAGTGACAAGATGACTTCGCCTGACCCTTTTAGCTGTAGAGTGATATTTTTTACATCCATTTTGAAGAGTGGGACACTTCAAATTTTATAAAACATGTGATGCCACAGATAACCACAAGATGCATTTAAATATACCAAAATTAGCAATACAAATTCAGTGGTCCAAGAAAGTAAAAAACTAGATCCCATATGCTATGATCTGAAAGGAATGGAAGTGGGGTGAGAGAGGGGAAAGAAGCTGCAGTAATGTTAGCTATAAACTGACATATTTTGAGCTTTCTCAAAAAATATTCAGGTATTCACTATCTAACACTTGACAAATGCTAAGTGCCTGATTAATGCCAGGCACTATAGTAAGCACTGGCAATCAAACACTAAACACAGTCCTTACCCTAAAAAAGATCACCTGTCTATCTTCCCAACTAGTTCCCCCGCCCCCCAGGGATATTAAATAGCAATTTTTATTATTTAAAAATTTTGTTTTCATTTGGTTAGGGAAACATATTTAATGTAACTCCTCTAAAAATTAGGGCACATGATAGGCCTTGAGTTTTTTTTCCCCCAACTAATATTTGACAGCCACACTGCACTGCAATAAATGCTACCAACAGGGTAATGGTATATCACACTTAGAACTATCTAGGGCAGTGGTTCTCAACCTTCCTAATGCTGCGACCCTTTAATACAGTTCCTCATGTTGAGGTGACCCCCAACCATAAAATTATTTTCGTTGCTACTTCATAACTGTAATTTTGCTACTGTTATGAATCATAATGTAAATATCTGATATGCAGGATGTATTTTCAGGGGTCGCAACCCACAGGTTGAGAACCGCTGATCGAGGGCATCTATGAAAACAGAAAGGAAAGGATGTGGCCATAAAACCCAGCACTGAAAATTTAATTAACATAACAGAGTAAAAATAACCATGAAACTCAAAAAGTAATAGGTAAAAAAAAAAAGTAATAGATAATCTGATAATGTGGACTCTGGCCAAAATACTAGCATTAAAAACTTCAATACTCCTTTTCTAATCAGATTCCTCAACTCCCTTTTAACCAGAAAGCAAAAAAAGTAGCCAAAAAAAAGCAGAAGCTAGGGACATTTTGCTCAGTATATAGGCAAGCAGGGAAGCTGCTCTGAGCAAAAATCAAAGTTAACTTATCTTAAAACAATACTCCCTTTTCCTCTCAGTTAAATATTCCTTATGTCACAGACACATTAAATTACACAAAATCTGTTACATTCCAAGAAACATTGTTTTTATGGCTTTGCTTTTAGATGGTGGTGAGGTAAAAAGTGTCTCTATAATATAATTCCTTTTTGTTAGAAGTTAATGCACTAATGAAAATAAAAGCCATCTACAAGCAACTAGGACCTACCATACTTAGATGTGTCTAAATGAACAAAATCATACAAATTATTGGGGCCTCCTACTTGGCACAATAAATCTGCTCAACTATTTGATGCTATCCTTCACTTCATGGAGCACGCACACTCACCAGCTGGCCTGCCAGCAGTGGCATATACTCAATGATGGCCAGCCGGACCCTCCACTTGGCATCTTCAGCCAGCTCCACTATGGCAGGAAGAAGAGACTGAGAGAGCTGACGGATTCCAATCACTTCATTTACACAATCCAAATTGGAGATGATATTCAAACGAACTTCAGGACACTGCAAGTACACAAGCCCCAAAAGAACACATATAAAAATCAAGTTTTCTGCCCAATATTTTCCTATTGTCATGATGAGGTAAAAACTGCTAACTAAAGTTTAAAATAAGAAATTATTGACTCAGGTAAAAAAGTAGTCTTGGAAGAAATAGTACTGGGTACACAAATAACTCAAAGCACATAACTGTAACTGTTCTTAACCATAACTCTCAATAAAAAGTCTATATGATGGCCTTAGCTGGTTTGGCTCAGTGGCTAGAGTGTCGGCCTACAGACTGAAGGGTCCCAGGTTCGATTCCAGTCAAGGGCACATGCCCAGGTTGCGGGCTCGATCCCCAGTAGGGGGTGTACAGGAGGCAGCCAATCAATGATTATTGCTCATCATTGATGGTTTCTATCTCTCTTCCCCTCTCCCTTCCTCTCTGAAATCAATTAAATATATATATATATGAAAAAAATTCTATAGGATGGTAAAGAGCATAGGCTCTGGAATCAAATTATATGCATTCAAATCCCAGATCTGCCAAGACCTTGGGTGAACTATTTTATCTCTCTGTGCCTCAGCTTCATCTGTAAAATGGGGATAAGACCTACCTCTAAGATTGCTGTGAGGATTACAGGTAATAATACGTGCCAAAGCATTTATGATCATGCCTGGCATATAGTTTTACTCAATAAATGTTAGCTATCAGTATAAAGTTGATATTATATTTAAATAAAAGATACTTTTTAAACAAAGATCTATTAAGTTTGAAGAGAAGAAACCAGAGCCTCTCAGCAGGAATCAGACAAAGAGAATGAGGAGACATTTTTAAGTCTATATCTATGGCTCCTAGTGCCCATTTTCTGGGGAACTTGCAACCCATATTCAAACACAAGGACTGTCACTAGTTTAAAATAAGTTACTTTTTAAAATCACATTATCCCTGTTTTGGGTTCTATTTTAGTGAAACCTCAAACCAAACCAAACCAAATCACTGTCTATCAAGCAATAGAATTTATAGCCAGACTCACCTCATCCTTTAACTGAGCTAAAAAAAGAGGTAGAAGATGTTCAATGGTATTCTCTTTGCCCAAAATGGTAGACAATCCCATAATTACAGAAGCTAGAGCCGATTTGACATGTTGATTTGTATCAGATACTAATTCCTAAAAAAAAAAAAAAAAAATTAAAAGCCTTTCTTTTTTGCAAGACAACAGAAACTTCCATACTATTTCCCAAGGAATTTAAAAAGACAGCACTATTTCAATAGATTCGTTGATAATGTTTCCTCAGATCAACTGTCAGATAACACAAACCTTTGTGCCAACGAGCATTTTTCAGTTATAACGCACTACTAATAAGTGATAAATAATGTCACACATTAACACACCTATCCCATTCATCCCTTGTCCTCCTTTAAACTCAAAAGAGCTTTAAGGCAAACAAAAAAGAGGCAAAGTTTGCCTTCACATAAGGCAGAGGTAAAGCTAAAAGTAAACTAAAGTTAGGTTTACCTTTATATAGGGCAGCACTTGATTCATAATTATGGTCTCTCTACCTTCAATGGGCAAGTTCTCACAAAGTTCTAAAAGAGATAAATAGAAAAAAAATAATGCTTACATAGAACCATTTACAAGGAGCCAAATGAAGAAATTTAACCAGTTATATCAAGTTTCAAGTTAACTCAAATCATATGTTAAGCAAAAAATCTCTAAGAAGTGACCCTTGTTCTAAATACACTTTTTTGTCAATCTAGATGGCACTGTGTATCACACTAATCCAACGTGAAAAGGCATTAAAAAAAAATAGAAACAAGGTAAAATGGCTGTTTGGTTTTAACTTACATGATAATGTAACATTTCTATACAATAAAATCATCTCTATTTATTTGAAAACATATTCTAGAACAAAAATCATAAAAATTCACTGACATAAAAAAAATGCACCAAAATAAACAAGCCATCCTGCAACATAAACTGAACTCCTTAACCTTTCACTTTGTGGGCAGCAGCCGCTCGGACTTCAGCTTCACAGTCTTTAAGTAGGTTCTGAAAGGCGGGGATGAGGTCATTTTGGGTGATTTTGGGACCCACAGCTTTCTGGAGCTATAAAATAATATGTACAGGTTTAAATGCAAACTAACAAAATAATTAATATGAAAACACAAAACAGCACAACTTCAGGTATACATTTTTGCCACAAACACTTCTGATTCATAAGAATTCAGAGACTTTTGGTACCACAGCAAACTTGTGGGTTTCTTGTTTCTATTTTTCTTTAGTACTTAAAGAAAATACCAGTGCAATAATTTTACCTCTGAAAATTTGTCAGCTACCATATAGCGAACTCGCCAAGATTTATCTTCTGCAGCTTGTCGAAGTGTAGGCATCACCAAAAACTCAAGGTCATCCTGAGACAGTAACTGGGCAATACTGACACAAGCTTCCACAGCTAGGAGGCGCACTGAATCCTAAAGGAATAAAATTTATTTCTTTTAGACAATATTTACTGACAGTCAAAGTATATGGTGTGGGGGTGTGCTCTGAGTGTCATTTCAAAAAAAAACAGAAGCAAACCAACAATACCAGCGGTTGCCAACCGGTGGTCCGTGGACCACTGGTGGTCTGTGAGGTCCGAAAGGTTGGCGACTGCTGAACTACACTACATGCAGCTTCATGTGTCTGTGCCTGGAAATAGCTGTTCTCTGGCTGGAATAGTATGTCAAAGCCACAAAGGCAGAAACTTATTCTGTGAATGAACAGCAAAATAATTACATTGCTAGTGCAGAGTTGTTTTTTAAATTAAGTAAAAATGTAAAGTGAGGCCAAAACCGGTTTGGCTCGGTGGATAGAGCGTTGGCCTGCGGACTGAGGGTCGCAGGTTTGATTCCGGTCAAGGGCATGTACCTGGGTTGCGGGCACATCCCCAGTAGGGGATGTGCAGGAGGCAGCTGATCGATGTTTCTCTCTCATCGATGTTTCTAACTCTCTATCTCTCTCCCTTCCTCTCTGTAAAAAATCAATAAAATATATTTAAAAAAAAAATGTAAAGTGAAAAAAAAAAGAATATTTTAATGATATCTTCAAAGCCTCACTCTAATAAAAAAGCTGAGAGAAATAATGAAAACTAATGCTTATATAAGTTTATAACAGATCAGGACAGAGAAAGAGAATAATAAGTAAGGGAATCATTGGGGAGCTGTTAGCAAAATACAGGTACCCCCGCTTCTCAAAAGTTCATTCTGCAACTTTGCTTTTATGAAAAACCTAGATTAATACATGTTTCCCTACCTGAAAGAAGTCTGAGAAGGATTTTTGCTTTTACAAAAAAAGGTGAAAAGCGAAACCAGCATTCAGCATTTGTTTTACAGGAGCCATTACAGACGCAGCGCACCTCAAGCAGTGGCCCCACAGAGCTCCTTCTCAGGAGCTACACCCAGCATCTTAGCATCAAGATGCCACCACCTTGAACTGTCTGTGCACCTGGGTTTTATTTTTATTTAATTTGTGCACTATTAGCAAGATGTATCCCTAAGGTAACTGCTTCTTTGCTTTATGCCACTTTGGCTTACAAAAGGTTTCACAGGAACGCGCTCTGCTTTCAGATAGGGCAGCCTGTACTCAGTTTAAAGTGGCAGTAATAGGAATTGAGGTATAAGATGATGACTTGGAAAGAAACACATAGAAAAACAAAAGAGTAATTTAAAAAGTTGGATTTCAATGTTGAGAACCAAGGACAAGATAACTTTGAGGTAGCCAAGTCTGGGAAAACGCAAAATGAAAAAATTAGAAAGATAAGGAATGACTGAACTGAGCTTTCCAAATGTAAAGTGCCAAGTGTCAATGTGACACCTATATGTCCTTTGAGCAAGTGGAAATATACAACTAGACAAACCAATGAGAAATTAGGAACTGACACCACAGATTTGGGAATCATAAGTATATAAGTAGAAACTGAAAATAAGTAAACATAAGTGCCCAGGAGAAACAGGACAAAGTCCTTTATATAACTACATATTTTATATATACACATATATCATACATATATGTGTACATATGTACACACATATACATGAAAGATAAGAGTGATTCCAACTTTCCAAAATATTACAAATTTTTAAAATTTCAGATCAACAAAAACTTACTATGTGCCCAAGACACTCCTCTACCCAAATGAACAGGCTAAAAAGGCAGAACTAGGTCTTGGTAGCAGCTATAGATATTTTTGGATTCCCAAAATGATGCTAAATCAAGGGACTGCTACCATCTACGAAAAAATATACCAATAAATACTTGTTAAATTAATCAATTACTTCTCTTCCAGAACTGATTTTCTCCCCAAACCTGCTCCTCCCAGAATTTTCTCCACCTCAGCAATGACACCACCACCCACCCAGTTGCTCAATCCAAAAATCAAGATCTTCTTGATGCCTCTTCCCCTCACCCAACCCAATCATAGTTCTACTAACTCTACCTCCAGATTCTCGCCATCTTCACTATACCTCCCTAGTTCACCACTGTGTATTGACTGGAGTATAGACAAGCCTCCTAACTGGTCTTCCTGTTTCTATTCTCATTTCCCCCCGCCCCCCCCCCCACACACAGAACTGTAAAGTAAACCTTACAATTTAGTTTCCACCCAGAAGCCTCAATTACATCAAGTCAAAACCCTGCTTAAAATCTTGGTGTATTCTCATTGCACCTAGAAAAGAAAACCCAAACTCTACATATCCTGGCCTAAAGACCCTCTGTGACCAGGCCCCCGCTTATCTTCTCCAACCTCATCTTTTACCAGAGTCCCTTTCACCCACTAGGTTCCAACTGTAGGACCACTATCCACAAGTGTCCTCCCCCTTCCTGGAGCTGACACTCTAGGAAAGGTCATGGCTGGCATTTTTCTTTCTTGTCTCAGTTTATGTCACCTCTTCACAGTCCTTCTCTGACTAGCCAGTTTAGAGAAATGTCCTATAATCACTTCCAATTGTATCACCCTACTCTATATTTGCATCATAGCATTTATCCCTGATATTTTGCTTATTTATCTCTTTATCACCTATTTTCCTTCAGAGCTGAGTAGTTACAACAGACTGTCTGGCCCACAAAGCCTAAATTACCGGGGTGGGCATGGGCAAATATAGAAAAACACATGCAGGTTATTATTACAATAGCTTCAATAACTCAAAAGAATGTCACACTGCCACGGTATATCTACTTTCGCTCATCCCTGTATTTACTACCTTGTCCTTTACAGAAAAAGTTTGCAACCCCACCCCCCACCACAAGATTCAACTACCATTTTGCAGGAAATATAGAGGACAAAGAAAATGTTAAATTATAATATAGAAAATGTAATCACCAAAATCCCAAATGAGGATTCTAAATCTGTGCTGTCCAATGTGGTAACCACTATCCACACCTGAAAAGTGCCTAGTGATAATGATAATTATTTTGGGTATATTGGGTTAAATATATCATTACAATTATTTTCACCTGTTTTTTACTTTTTAAAATGTGGCTACCAAAAAGCTTAAAATAGGTAGTTTACATTACAGATCTGTTGGACAATGTTTTAAACTATAATGTTTGAGTCATGAAAGTGCAAAGAGAAGGAAGTAGTTAACTATCATAAAAGTCAAGATAAAGTGTTAGTCTTAAGGGGGTGGGCAGTGACAAGTGGGGAGTGAGGGAGGTGTTGTGTTTGGGAGGCCAGAGAGGGCTTCTGGGGTAGTGGCTGTCAAAATTCTGTTGTTTCATAGATGACAGCTACAAGATGACATTACCTTATAATAATTCATTTAAGATGTATACTTTGTACTGATTTTTTTAATGTTATTTTAATAATTTTTAAAAATTCTTTGGAAGTAAATTTTATCATCTTTAAATTTAGAATCTAAAAATAAGACTCATCAGCATGTGCCTGGTGCTCTTGGTCCTGTCCACATTAAGTGATTCTAGGGCAGATACCAGGCAAATTAAAAACCCCAAAGGACTCACTCTAGTCCACAAACTCTGGTGTCTGATCCTCTGAAGTACCACACAGAGAGGCAGTACAGCCTCACTGTGAACGCCGTGAAGTGCTTAGATTCCAATCCCAGCTCCACTACTACTAATGAGGCAACCTTGAGCAAGTTACTTCAATTTCTGTGCCTCTGTTTCCTAAAATGTAAAATGGGTTATCTACCCCATGGGGCTGTTGTGAAAAAATGAATTAATTTATATAAACAACTTTAAAGAGGCCAAGGAAGATGAAGTACTGCATTTAGGTGCTTCCTGTTTTTATTATTATTGCTATTTCTACACTAAAGAAATCTAGATCCTTGGATTTAAAATTGCTATTATGTGAGATCATCCTATACACACACACAGAGATGCAAAGGGCCAAATGGCTTTCCTAACATATACTGTGCTTGTTTATCTGAAAGTCAAAAATTCCAGGAATCCTTACCCTCCCATATGACAAGCCAGCCTTCAATGCACAAAGGTATGTTACCCCTTAATGCAACTTTGATCGTCCTAATTATGGATCCCATTTCCTCTGACTTCCCCCTTTTATAACAACTGCCAATGTAAGAGAAAATCATGGTCTGATTAAGAAAGAAACATAAAGACAATGAAATGAGTCATATTAAACTTTATCAAGGCCAGAATTAAGTATTAATTTTGCAAAAAGAATCCTAACATGAGAACCAAACTCCCCAAAGAAATACTTAAAATATTAGAGGAGAGGAGCATATATGTGTAACGTAAATACTGAGTTAACTTACCTGTTCATCTGTAGCTAGATTAGTAAACAATGGAACAATTTCACTTTTCACACTATCTAATTCTAAAACTTTTGCAAATTCGCCCAATTTGGAAGCAGCAGCACGTCGTACCATTGGTGTATCATCTGAGCACAAGGAACGGAAGTGCCTGGAGCAAATAAAATAATGAAGGTACTTCCTGTCAAATATCATTGATTAAATACTCCCTCACACCCAACAACACAAACACAGCAAGGCATTTTTAGAGGTTTTCTCTTACAAACACTGTGATTAGGCTTCTACTCATGGAAGAAACAAAGACAAAACACTGGTATATTCAACTGGACAATAAAAAGTGATGTCATCAATCTTATTATCCTGATATCAGCCACTCACTGGTAAGTGGGTACTGTGTAAATCGTCCCAATAACCCCAAATAACTAAAAAAATACCATATCTTACTGTCTAATTTCTGCTTTGACAGCATTTGAAGCCCTGGGATAGCAAACGCTGAATAAACCACACGCAGATGTGCGAGACGTGAACCAATCCCCACTCGCTAGGCGTTTCACCAGAGGTACAAAATGAGCTTCCAGAGCAACAGGCGTGTGCTCCTGGGAGATCTGCCTCAGGGACTCCACAGCCTTGTCTCGAACCACAGTCTCTTCCACCGTTGCCAGACTTTCCAAAGGAGGCTGAATAGACCAAAGAGGAAAACCAGAGAAAAAAACTTACTGAATCAGGTTAGATGCAGATTATCACCTTTTAAAGTGACTGAAGGGAGGTGGTACATGTAACCAGAATGTTAGCTACATCACACCAAATGGCTACTTTCAGTTCACACAGCGATAACATATGGTGTGTCCAACTTGAAGACACGACTTCTGTAGGACAGCCAAGATCTCATGTCCCAGATGGCAATTCCCAGATGGTGTCTACAAATGACACAGTGGAGGGGACTTGACACAATATTAATATTATTGTGAGCTGAATCACTAGGTTTAAAAGATACATAGCCAAATTCAGACAGGTTCATGCATATTTATTCAAAAGTAGTGCAAAAACATGACCAACACTGGGCACCATAATATGATGACATCTCATCAGGCCATGAGTATTATTCTACCATTCCTGGAGATGTAAGCAACCCATGTCCACTACCTCCACACAACTTATCCAACCTATAGAAGGCTGAGTACAAAATCACTTTTTTCAGAATACATACAGAATCTTTCCATTAGCCAGATATGTAGCAGTAGTTTCTAACAATTAAGTAGAGTATAGAGATGGTAGTAATCCTTGCCTGCAGCTAAGAAACAGAAAAGATCAAAGGGGTTGCTCTGGTGTGAGATCCATAAGTGACACCGTCCAGTGAAAAGTGAAAGCAGCTGGTTCCTTAAACTTCATCCTTTTGGGTTTGTATTTGGTCAGGTACATTCAGCATATGCCATGAGCTGAATTTGGTCATTTCTATAAAAACCATATTTAGAACTGACCAAAAGAGTAAAACAATTACGCCCAGCTGGAGTGGCTCTGTGGTTGAGGGTCAACCCATGAACTAAGAGGTCACCGGTTCAATTCCTGGTCAGGGCACATGCCCGGGTTGCGGGCTTGATACCCAGTAGGGGGCGTGCAGGAGGCAGCAGATTGATGTTTCTATCTCTACATCCCTCTCCCTTCCCCTCTCTCTAAAATCAATAAAAATTTTGTAAAGAGTGAAACAATTATAGTAAGTCAAAGGAAAGAAGCATGTCTACTTAATAATCCATTTCAAAAATTGTTTGAAACACTAAGGCAGAAAGTACTCAGCTTTTGCCTGGCCAGTGTGGCTCAGTGGTTGAGCATCAACCTACGGACCAAGAGATTAAAGTTTGATTCCTGGTCAGGACACATGCCCAGGTGTGGGCTCGATCTACAGTGGGGGCGCTGAAGGAGGCAGCCAATCAATGATTCTCTCTCATCATTGATGTTCCTATCTCTCCCCTTCTCCCTTCTTCTGAGAAGTCAATAAAAATATATATTAAAAACAAAAGTTTTGCCCTAGCCGGTTTGGTTCAGTGGATAGAGCATCCACCTGTGGACTGAAGGGGCCCAGGTTTGATTCCAGTCAAGGGCACATGCCTGGGTTGCGGGCTTGGTCCAACGTGCAGGAGGCAGCCAATGATTCCCTCTCATCATTGATGTTTCTATCTCTCTTCCTCTTCCTTCCTCTCTGAAATCAATAAAAAAATATTTTTAAAAAAACACCAAAAATTTCCTTAAAAAAGGAAAAAGAAAAGAAAGTACTCAACTTTCATAAGAGGATTTTGGGAACCCTTTGAAAAGATAACTGCTTTCTTACTTGCAAAGGTTTCTCATGATCTGGCCATGCAATATCTCTCTATATAAAACCCTAATATGCAAATAGACCGAACAGCGAAACAACTGAACAACCGGTCACTATGACGTGCGCTGACCACCAGGGGGTGTGCGCGGAACATGGCGGGCATCAGCAGCAGGTGGCAGAGCACAGAACATGGCAGGCGTAGGCCGAAGCAGGATAGTGGAGCAGGTGAGCAGGGGCGCCAGACCAAGGCAGGGTGCCGGTAGCTGTCATCGGGGCGAGCCTCTGGTGAATACTGAAAATTCTTTGCTCCTGCATGCTACGGTCCCGCCTGACGCTTGCGCCTGCTGCCTGCTCATACCCATTGCCAGTGCCAGAGCCGCCGCTCGCACCCGCTGCCAGCCCTGATCGCCCCACCACTCACACCTGCTGATGGTACCGGCCCCACTCGCACCCGCTGCTGGCGCTGGCCCCGATCGCTCCATGCAGTAGCGCATGGGAGCAGCGGTGGCAGGAGAGGGGCTGCCAGCAGACAGGGGACCGGGGGCTGCTGCGGGAGGGGCCGGGTAGGGGCACAGAGGATAGGCCAAGACCCACCCCTGTGCCAACCGCAGCCTCATGGCCACAGTTATTTTCAAGGGAATTCGTGCACTGGGCCCCTAGTCATAGTATAATCTCTATCACTACTACAGGATAAGGCCAAGTTCCTGAAAATTGCATATGCGTTGTCTCTTGATTTAAACTCCAAGATCTTTCAATAAAGGATTATTATTATACTAGAGGCCCGGTGCACAAAAATTTGTGCACTCGGAGGGGAGAGGGGGTCCCTCAGCCTGGCCTGTGCCCTCTCGCAGTCTGGGACCCCTCGGGAGATAACGACCTGCTGGCTTAGGCCTGCTCC